TAGTTGTCCAACTAATTTCTTTCTATTTTTAGTAGAGATGGGGTCTCGCTCTTGCTCAGGCTGGTCTCGAACTCCTGAGCTCAAACGATCCATCCGCCTTGCCTCGGACTCCCAGAGTGCTAGGATTACAGGTGTTAGCCACTGCACTTGGACTGCACGATGTAATTTAATGCTAGTCCAAAGGGTGCTTGTAGTGTGAGGGAAAGGCATGAATAAAGTTTTAGTTAAATAATCTTAATACTGTGGGTTTTTATTCCTACTATGATTTTTGGCCACTTAAGTCTTTATGTTGACAGAAAGTTAAAATCTTGGATATTTAGAAGTTTAAGATTACAGATTGGGTCCCCTCAGACAGCATATTGCATCATTGTTCACTACAGGGACAGATTTGGTGGTGATGTGGTGGGGGTAAAGGTAGAAGTATGTAGGAGGTAATTTTAAAGATACTTCATGAATCAACTTTTCCCTAATCTGCATGAGTGAGTTAGAACTGATTTTAATAAAAATATAAAGTATATAGAAAAACATAAAGCCATTGGAGAAGAAGGAAGCATATAAATTCAGTTGAGTTGTGTTTTACTTTTCGGTGTATGAATTTATGATAAACCATGCATTTTTGGCTTTCACTTATTAACAATATTTCAGACACAATTTTTAGTGTTAGAAATCCTATACTTGAAGGAAGCCTCAATTATCAGTGGCTTTGTGAAGCAAAGTTAAAAACAAACTTGGAAAATGTAAGAACATTTGTGTTTTGTCTGACTAGCTTGCTGCTAATTATGTTCTCTTTAAGTGTATGAAAATTTTTTGATATTTTATTGTCACATTCTGTTAAATAGCAATTGCTTTGAGAATCGGATAGTGTGTTCTTTAAGGGTTAATTGTGTCTACATTTTTCAAAGTTTAATATCATGTATTATAGGAAGTTAGAGTGGTACCATTTTGATTAGTCTGAATGTTTTCAGGCCTTGAAATAAATCCTGAGTGCTAATTTTTTCTTTCCCTGTGTCAGCTTGAATCTTTTATATGTTTCTAATTTGTTGGCTGATTGTTACTTTGTTTGTTTATTTATTTATACATACATACGTACAGAGTCTCGCTCTGTTGCCTGGGCTACAGTGCCATGGTGTCAGCCTAGCTCACAGCAACCTCAAATTCCTGGGTTCAAGCAATCCTGCCAAGTAGCTGGGATTACAGGCATGTGCCACCATGCCCGGCTAATTTTTTCTATATATATTTTTAGTTGTTCAGCGAATTTCTTTCTATTTTTCTAGTAGAGACTGGGGTCTCGCTCTTGCTCAGGCTGGTCTCGAACTCCTTAGCTTAAGCAATCTTCCCGCCTCGGACTCCCAGAGTGCTGGGATTACAGGCATGAGCCACAGCGCCCAGCCTAATTCATTCTTTCTACAAATATTTACAGAGTGTTTGCTATGGACCAGGCACCATACTAGTGTCAGGGAAATAAAACAGTTTTGCCAACAAAGACCCTTTCATACCAATATAGAGAGAACCTAACTTTAACATTGGGTAAGCATTATCAGAGTTAAATACATTTAAGGTAGAAGGAAAGTGACTGCAAAATCTGGACATAACTTTGCACAAATTTATAGAGAAAAATAGAAGAGACAATTAAAACTTCTTTCTTGTTGAGAGGTAAGAGGATGCACCTTGTTATAACCTTGCACCACGCAAATCTTGCCAGCGCAAATCTTGCCAGCGACCCTCGAACTATTTCCCGAGGTTAAGTTTGACTCAGCAGGCCTTTATTTGCATTGCAGTAGAAGTAAAGCCTTTTATCAGGCTTATTAAGTTTTCAAGGAGACACGTAAAGACGGGAGGTGGGCAGGCAGCCGCTTTCCTCCTTAAAGAAGTTTTCCCACGGGCCGGGTGTGGTGGCTCACGCCTATAATCCTAGCACTCTGGGAGGCCGAGGCGGGCGGATCGTTTGAGCTCAGGAGTTGGAGACCAGCCTGAGCAAGAGCGAGACCCTGTCTCTACCAAAAAATGGAAAGAAATTATCCGGACAACTAAAAATATGTAGAAAAAATTAGCCGGGCATGGTGGCGCATGCCTGTAGTCCCAGCTACTCGGGAGGCCGAGGCAAGGAGGATCACCTGAGCCCAGGAGTTTGAGGTTGCTGTGAGCTAGGCTGACGCCACGGCACTCACTCTAGCCAGGTCAACAGAGCGAAGACTCTGTCTCAAAAAAAAAAGTTTTCCCACGGTAACCTTCCAGGTGGGGTTACAGTGTTGCAGACGGGCCCTGCTCCCCAGGAGCTTACATTCTGATATAATTTCAGGCCGTGGTCAGTGGTCTGGGAGGAGGACGACCTCTTCCTGTAGGGAGGTCAGGAAAAGCTTCTATAAAAAGGTGATCTTTGAGCTGGAATTTTGGAGCTTTAATAAATGTTTAACGAGCGAACGGAATGACTGACCATTGACCATCAACCTAGCGGTTGCCAAGGAACCAGAAAACGTCTCGCTTTGTCATCGATTGTTATGAAAAGGAGAAAGGGAAAAGAAACCTTGAGGACTATTCAGGAACGGTGCTTTCGCGGCTGTCAGGCTGAAAAAGGGGTTCCCACTACAACGCCCGTCAGCTGGGGCCGAAAGGAAGCCGGGGACCCAAGCGCCACCGACTCCCGACAGCAGTTGGGGGCGGAGCCACAGGAGGGCGGGGCTACGGAAGCCGAGAGGGCGCGGGCCGTTCGGCGGAGGAAGTGTGCAGACGCCGGCAACGCCGGGTCAGGTTTTGGTTCCTCCCGCTCAGTCGGGCCGCCTCCGCCGCGCTCCCCGCCTACACCTGCGATTACTTCTGTTGCAGCCACAGCCCCAGCGGAGACGCAGCGTCTTAGTCGCTGGGCAACTTCTGTTGGGTCAGCGGCGTGAGAGAACCCACCGCGGCGTGTCATCGGCGCCGCCGGGGCCCTGGTGCGCCCGGCCGGCCGGCACAGCTCACGCCCCTGTCTCCCGGCTGGTCCGGGGGTCCGGGCACCGCCTCAACGGCGGCTCCGCCGGACGCGCAGACCGGACCGCAGCCCGCACCGCAGCCCGCATCCGAAGCGGACGGCGTCATGAGGCACCTGCCGTACTTCTGCCGGGGCCAAGTGGTGCGGGGCTTCGGCCGCGGCTCCAAGCAGCTGGGCATCCCCACAGGTGAGAGCTGGGCGGCCAGAGTCCTCCGGGTCGGGTCACATGACGAGGGGAAGTCGTCAGGCAGAGGACTGAGGACCAGGTCTTGGATTGAGGTGATACCCTACCCTTTCTCCGCTTCGACTCCCCTTTGGGCGGAAGACCTTTGGTCCGGTTGAGGGAGCTCATCCCTTCCCCTGGCTCGAAGCTCTAGGGGGACTGGAGTTGAGGGATGGTGAGGGCAGGAAGTCAGATGAGTCGCAGGATCCCCCTTTCATGCGTCCCTGTCCAGCCAAGATACAGTTGGCGAAGCATGGCACTCGTCTCGCCCATTGGGAACCTGATGTGGGCCAGATTGGCTGAACTCTCAAGCTGACTCTGAGGTGTTTTGTTTTTTTTAATTTGTTATTATATAGTGCCATATGATAACACAGGTAGTTGAATGAGAGCCAACTGTCTATTTGTGTCTACGTTAGTTTTAGTAATCAAGACCTGACTGTTTAATTCATCTTTACCTCCATACCAGGACTGCCTCTTTGTCTAGTAAATCAGTCTTTCAGCTTGGGTCCTAGGCTTGTGTATCTTGAAAGTGAGAATCTTTTCAAATGATTTGAACCTTCTTAGGAAAGAGCAGGTCTTAAAAAATTTATCTGTTCTTGTATCTGTTTTTTTTTTTTTAATTTTTTTTTTTTCCCATCCGTAGGACTCTGCTCAATATATTCTTGTAACTGTTTTTTCTTCTACCCCAAAAGTGTGGTCTTTTTGGGGGGCTTTATGCACTTACCTTGTACTTTGTTTCTAATCTATCCATACAAAGAGGAGAAAGAAATCCGAGCCAGAAAATGGAAGAATAAAATTGATAATTATAGGGAAGGTTCTAGGATTCTTGTGAATGTAATGATTTAGATTAGCTTTACATATGATTTTTGTGAATATTTAATATGAAACTCGTAATACTGAAAATATTTACTTGTGTTATTTAGCTAACTTTCCTGAACAAGTAGTAGATAATCTTCCAGCTGACGTATCCACTGGCATTTATTATGGTTGGGCCAGTGTTGGAAGTGGAGATGTCCACAAGATGGTGGTGAGCATAGGATGGAACCCGTACTACAAGAATACAAAAAAGTCCATGGTAAGCATTGTGTTTTGCTCTGTAACTGACAATGGGATGATGATTTAGAGTAATGTGTAGTATTAAATGTATATAGAACTCAACAACCAACAACGGTAACCACAACAGTTGAAATACTAGAATTTTAGGGAGCATACTTGAAGGATATAAAAATGAAGTATCTAGTTACTGTTTGAATGGAGTATCTTTTTCTGTCCTTTCACTTTCAACCTATTTGTGTCTTTGGATCTAAAGTGAGTCTCTTGTAAACAATGTGTAATTGGATCACATTTTTAATCCATTCTGCCAATCTGCCTTTTGATGAGACTGCTTAATCCAATTACATTTAAAGTAATTACCAATAAGGAGGGGCTCCTTTTATTTTGCTGTTTATTTTCTATGTGCCTGATAACTTCTTTGTCCCTCATTTTCTCCATTACTGCCTTTTGTATTTAGTTGATTTTTTTTGTAGTGAAACATTTTAATTGCCTTCTTATTTCCTTTGTTTTTTTTTTTAAAGATCACAAAATACTTTTCTGTTGAATGAGGGAGGAAAAGAAGGGGAGGGAAAGCTGTCTCTCTTATGATTAATTTGTCTTTATTAGCTAATCGGATAATAGAAATATTACTATAGAGCCAGTTAACGAATGCCTTGGAAGTCCTTTGTTAGGAAAAACTCAGTTTTCCATTGGTAAGATGCTCATACATTTCACAGTTTGTTTTGTTTTTCTTTGCCAGTAACAGACATCTGTGAGGTGCCTATTCAAGTCTTTTTCCCTTTTAAAAATATTGTCTTATTGACTTAAAGAAGTTCTTAGTACATATATGGTAGTTCCCAGTCCCTTTTTATTTTTATTTATTTATTTATTTTTTTACTCCCACCACCGCCACCTCCTGAAACAATAGGAAGGCCCCCAGTCCTTTTTTAGAACTGTGTACTGTACTACAAGTTTCTTCCGCTGTGTTGCTTTTTTTTTTTTTTTTAACTCAATGATGTCTTTTGAAGAACGGAGACACTTAATTTTAATATAAAACAGTTCATCATTTTTCTTATGGTTAGTGCTTTTTATAATCTATTTAAATCTTTGCCTACTCCAAAGTTATGAAGAAACTGTTTTCTTCTAAAAGCTTACTTGACTGACTTTTCATCAACTTGACTTTTGAGTATGGTGTGTGGTAGGGGTCAAAATTGATTTTCCAACAGCACTGCAATGTCACTTTGGTCATAAATCAAGTCACTTTTTATGTGTGAGTCCAGAAATACACTCATGCATACTTGGTTTGTTTGTCTGTCCTTGGGCCATTACTGCAGGGTCTATTTCCATTGCCTTGTAATAGATTTCGCTATCTCGTTGTATAAGCCTTCTAGTTTTGTTCTCAAAATCGTTTGGAAACTCAACCCCCTCAATTACAGATGAGAAAACTGAGCCCCACAGAGGCTAGTTATATAGTTACCAAGTGTGGGACCCTACGCTTATGATTTCAGTGCTGTTACCACAGTACTGCCCAGATAACTTACCTGAACTAGAGAGATTCTGGGGCATCTTCTTCCTCCTGCTCTGTTTTCGTACTCCATTTTGCTTTAACATGCCCTGTTCCCTTTTGTCACATCGCCCCCTGATGGGGAAGCTGCATGGCCCTCCTGCCCCCACATCAGTCAGTCTTTGCCTAACTGTAAGTGGTTGCCATGCTTGGTGTGTGTCAGAGACATGTGCATCCTGGCTGACCTTAGAACTAGTTGTTTAATGGTAACGTCTTTTAATACTTGCTCCGTCCCTCTTTGGCATCTTTGGACCTAGGTAAAACTCTTATTGCCTTTGATACACATCAGGTTTTTTTTAATTAGCAACAACCCATGCCAGATTTGTGATATAACGTATATTACCTCAGTGAGTTATGTTTACATGTAACGTTGGGTAGAAACAGAAGGGAGGGGAGAATTAAGGTTGCCCATTGTAAACATGAAGATAATATTTCAAAGATATGAAGATAGTATTTCAAATTTCAGGTACTCTGTAATCTTTTTAACATTTCTTAACTATAGGAAACTCATATCATGCATACCTTCAAAGAGGATTTCTATGGGGAAATCCTCAGTGTGGCCATCGTTGGCTACCTCAGACCAGAAAAGAACTTTGATTCTTTAGGTAAGTTCTTATTTTGATCTTCTTAAATCTTACTACTGCTGCCACAGCTACTTCTGCTGCCACAGCTACTTCTGCTGCCACTACTTGTAATAATGATGGCAGGACAGATGATATTTGAACATTTAATATATGCCAGGCACCATCATAACCGCCTTACATGAATTTAACTCCTTTCATCCCCCACAACAACCATATGAGAAATTATTTTGCATATTTTGCAGATGAAGAAATTGGCACAGAGAGGTTAAATAACTTTCCCAAAGTCACATAGTAAATGACAAAGCCTAAATTCAAATCCAGTGGGCTGGCTGCCTCGCTCCAACAGTGTGAAGTTTATGAAATCCTTCAAAATGTTTGAAGTGGGACTGGGCATGGTGGCTCACTCCTGTAATTGTAGCACTCTGGGAGGCTGAGGTGGGAGGATCTCTTGAGCCCAGGAGTTTGAGGTTGCTGTGAGCTAGGCTGCCAGGGCACTCTACCAGGGTGACAGAGTGAAACTCTTTCTTAAAAAATAAAAAATGTTTGCAAGTGTAAGAAATAGTAAATCAGAGAACATTTGAAACTAATGTTATCAGTATCTATTAGTGTAGTGTGATGGTTTTAGCTCTATTGTAAAGTTTCATGTACAAGTGTAAATACCAAAAAGAATAGATAGTGAATATTTGTTTCTTCCATTTAATATTTGCAGTGTACATTTTTGCCTGTACCTTTCTCTAAGATATTACAAGATTAGGTACATCTTTTGTGTACCATTGACTTTTACTTAAGCCTGGAAGAATGGATGAAACAAACATTAATTGGATATCTACCCTTCGCCAGAGATACTGCCAGCCTGTGAGTTTTTAAGAGAGACGGAACAAAGCTGTAGTAAAAAGTATGTTAGCAGTTTTTTTTTATCATCTTTACCTGATTTATTCTCTCTGCAGAGTCACTTATTTCAGCAATTCATGGTGATATTGAAGAAGCTAAGAAACGACTAGATCTACCAGAACATTTGAAACTCAAAGAAGACAATTTCTTCCGGGTTCCTAAAAGCAAAATAATGAATGGCCACTGATGAAAAATCATCTTATTTATTCATTCACTGTTTTTTAGTATTTCACTGTTTATAACTGTCCAGTCTCATCTCAGTTATATTTTAAAAATCAAACATTTTCCTTCTGCTGTGAATTAAACAGTACAATGTCGTTACCTTATTGTGCTTCACCTGTTAAATTAAACCCATCATGTAATAGCACTACAAAGATTCATTTAAAAATCAAGTTTTTTTTAAATATGTTGATTAAAATGTACCACTAAAAAGGTATTAAGGTATTATGATGGAAATGAAATGTATATAAATGTAGGTAAAAAGGCCAGTCACTAGTTTGAGATTAGAACTAAAATTCTTATGGTAAAATACCAGCATGTATGTCCTTATATATCATTTACTGCTAAGCAGAGAAAGCTAATAAAAGTAAATACATTAAACAAAAGTTTGATAGTTTATTGTAAATCTAAGGGGAAATGTTCAGACTATTTTAGATATTTTGTGCATTAATATGTTATTACAAATGGGAAATTTTTATTCATTCCCTTTGAACTCACATTGTTGTATCATCTTAATTTTTGTACAGAGCTGCCTCAATTCTAAGTGGTCTATTTTTTTATTTGTTCGTTTATATAGTAAGACAGTAAAATGAGTGTTTTTTGAATCTATAGATCTTGTTTCTGTGTTGGATAACACTTCTTTTTTTTAAGAGTAGATATTCTTCTTCCTCAACATTTTTCTTGATTTTTTTTTTTTTCCTTTAAACAATTGCCAGTGTCAGTTTATTCCATTTAGAATATCCTACTGTGCCAGGCACAGGAAGGGAAGCCGGGACAGGAGGATCACTTGAGGCCAGCCTGGGCAACATAGTTGAGACCCCTCTCTAAAAAAACATTAGTTTTCAATATTAAAAGCCAGAATATTCTACTTAAAAGAAATTGCATCTGCTTATACCATCCTGTCCCTTCACTGTATGAACAATGATTAAGTGAATGTATGTACTGCATTTTAAAACAAACAAAAAAAAGCCAGGTACAGTGGCTCATGCTTGTAATCCGCTACTCGAGAGGCTGAGACGGGAGGATCACTTGAGGCTAGGAGTTTGAGACCAGTATGGGCAACATAGCGAGACCCCCATCTCTTAAAAAAAAAAAACCAACCAACTTCATCTTTAGGTTTCCTCAAGATTTACATGAACACGTAGCTGTTCGTTTATATGTACAAATTTCTTGAACACAAAATGCTTGTTTCCTCCATACCAAATCTAAAAGCCAGTAAAACTATGAAATAGGAAGTGATTTTTATGTTCCAGGGCAAATCTAAGCTGTGATAGTTGTGTATGCACAATGTAATTTT